TCCGCAGCATTGACCGGGGGGTGGATGGGAGGCAGGGCTGCTGCGTCCAGCGTGGTCGGCCAGTTGACCCGGTATGCATCCACGGAGATGGAGACCGGGGGTGCATCTTTAGCAAAAATGGGATTGGCCAGAGCGTTGCTGCTGCGCTCCCTATGAAACAAAGCGGTCGACGGGTCGATCGCAAACTGCCAGTTCGAGGTTGGGAGAAGATAGTGATCTCTGGCTTTGGGAACAACCTCCCCTGACTCCAGCGGCAGCTGGCTGGACCAGTTCAAAGGCAGATGGCTGGTCTCGTTGTACTCAATGGCCAACGCATACAGCAGCGGACCGTGATAGATCGCGACCGATTGGTTGCGAGGCACAATGTCGATCGCCATGGGGAGTGAAACGTGAATGGTTGTGGTCCCCAAGCCGATGGAGAAGTAGTGCAACCCATTCGAGTCGGGCGAGAGGCTTTGCTTCTTGTTGCTCGAAGAGCCAACTTGTGCGGTCGCGACTCCGGATACCCACTCTGGGATACGGACTGCAAAGCTGAAGCTGATGTCGGAGGTGATTGTGTAGGTTAAGTCTTCGGAAAATGGGTACTTTGTGTCGCAGATAACTACATTCACGTTAGCTTCGCTGGGTGCAGGAATAGGCGCCTTCAACTTACTTTCCACATTCTTGCCCAAGATGATTGTAGTTAGGGTTGTTGGACCCAGGAGGACGTGGGCAATATCTTTATCCCCCTTTCGGACGTAAGAAGATGTAACGAATTTCGGATATCCCTGTGGGTGGTTGACAGTACAGCAAGGCTTCCAGTGGCAACACTCGTTAGCGTGACCGCGTGGACTGTTAATGGGGACTGGGCTAATCCATCCACTTACGAAATTTGGCTCAAGACCGTATGTCAGGGAGTAGGAGTTGACGTTGTAGAAGGGATTCTCAGTGAGGTTCTTGGCCCACACTGCATTCGTCTGTGTGACATATTGGCGCGACCACCCTGCAAACAGATTAGCCCTTGCTGCGCCGCCAGTCTCTGAGGGTAGACATACAGTCCGGGCTCACGCCGACAGGCAAAGCATTAAAGGCTGCCCTCTCTGCTCGATCGGCAAAGTCGTTCACCCCATGGAAGCGGTACAGGAAGGCGTACGAAAACATGGATTCGACAGCCATACATAACTCAGATCTATGTCGCCTTGTTAGCGTTGACTGATGCACAGCGGCCAATATCATGGGCCCTCTCTCACCCTCTCTGGGGGCTTAATCCGCCAATGTGCTCGTCACCCACAATCGAGCCAGACAGTGACGTTTGGTAGGTTGCGGTCAGGTTCACAGCCGTAAGTGTCTGGGCAAGTAGGCTCGTGTTCCCATTGAGACGGTGAAGAACGGTCGGGTAGCGTAAACCTAGGCAGTAGTTGCGGTGAGATTCTCACTTTGGACTTTTCATCCCGGTCGAGTGTTGATAGACGAGGCTGAAGAGTTGGAAAGGGGGGCATACCTTCAGCTAGGTTCACACCGTGGGTGAAGCCACTGGCTGTATAGCCTGTGCCTCCTGTAGGGAACACCCCTGGAACGAAGAAAGTAGTCCAGTCACGACCCCCAACCCGGCCGCCTTCGAACATGAGCTCAATGGCCTCCAGAATAATCTGAGAGTTATTGCGAGGGTGGTTGTCGTATAACCACATCAGAGAGATCGGGAGTTCATGGGTGCGCGAGAGGCCGAAACCATAAGGGTCAAAGTTGTCTCCGAGAGTTTTATTCTCGATCAGCCCGGTGAAGTGATCGCTCAGCATGGAGTGCACAAGCACGACAAATTTATGCATCGCATCTACGATGCGCTCTTCTTGGGTGGGGTCGGCTTCGGCATATTGCTGGTCGTCCTGGTCAGTGGAGATTGCTTCCTGAATGACTGGAAGGTAGGTTCATGCCGTCAGGCCAAAGAACAAAAGGCTTCGCGCCCAAATGCCCCGAGTCTGTCTGGTGGTCTCGGGTCCAATCCAGCCATCATTCGCTTGATGATCCAGGACATAATCCAGATAGTATCGAGCCTGAGACTTCAGTGCGTCGTCATCGAGCGACCACGCCAGTGGTACGATATAATTGAACCAGTACGGGGACGACTCGTGGAGTTCACTGTACTCGTACTCGCCCCCTAGCCAAGTGGACCGCTGCACGTAGCGGTAGAACTCCATCAGATTGCCTCCCAGGCCATCGGCTGAAAGTTGAATCTGATCTTGGAGCCAACCGGTGGGTCTGATGGCCCCGGGGGCGAAAGTGTTGAACAGAAATGGCTCCATGGCTATGAAATGTCATTAGCAGTTCGGGTCTATACTACTTGTGAGAAGGGAGGACTGACTAGGGCTGATGGGAGAACGACTAATATGACCTCCGGAGACGAGGTTACTCAGGCACAGAACATGTATGAGTTCTTTCACTTTCATCTTGCGCATTAGAAGAGGGTGGTGCCTGCTGAGGCAGACATCCTTCTTAAGCAGGGGACTGGAGTATCTTAAAAGGCTACATTGTCCAACAATTCACAATGGTTGACGGGCCATGTACCGGCAAACAACGTCACCCCTATGCGGGGTCATCGAGGCATATAAATCCATTTTATCACGATCTGCAATCAAAGAGGGCTAGCGTAGATTGCACACCAATTTTCCGGAGGAATCCCCGGAACTTCCGCCGTGAAGACATACATATCATCACGTGACACTGCATTCTTGCTTCGTACCACACTTATGAGTTATAAGTGAACATGAGCACTGACACACGGAACAAGTGGATAGACCAATGAGTGGTCCTGGCCCCCGGTCTCATCGTAGCAGCTGTAGAGAGGAAACATACATACTGCGGTCATGCCACGAATAACCACCGAAGTGGTCCTCGAAAGCGTGCCATGAGCAAGGAATGGACAGCAGGAGGAACAGCAATGTGCTAAAACTACTAACGCAATACGACATGGGGGTTGAATCCTCGGATTGCCTGATCTAGGCACGACCATCATTGACAAAACAAAAGAAAACTGACGGATGGTAAAGGTATTCGCAACATATGAGCTGTACCTGCACTGTGGATGTATCTAGTGCCTTGGCTCGAGCTGATAACGATCTCAGGTGTGCAAGAACAAGCTCAATATCTAAGCCACAATGTATACAAAGAGATCGAATATCCGAATTCGAACCCACAGGGCAGCAAGCAACCCACACTAGCCGACCTCCGTCACCTGGTAGCAATCAAAAAGGAAAGCATTTTGTCGCAAAGATCGGAACTGTCACCGTGTACAGAGTCACCGAGTAAAGGCTGGTCACGAACGCGTCCACGTCGAAGACGAAGTCACTCGTGAACCAGTACCCATTGCTGCATGCACCCGTCCCAGTCACGGCCGTCACACCAGTGGTCGAGCTGACATCCCCGGCGCCCGCCACCGAGAAGGTATTCACAACCTCGGCCTTGGCCTCGACCCCGGCGGAGACCTCGAGCAGACCGTTGAGGACGTTCACCCCAACCGCGAGTTCCACATCCGCAAACGGATTCAGCTGCGCGTCGACCTCGCCAGACAGGGTCGCCGATGCTGTCTGTGTGGGAGTCCAGCCCGACGACGTAGAGGCATCGCTGTGCAGCAGGTCGAGGTAGACGGTGCCGCGGGTGATCTGTGTCGACAGGTCCGCGGTGATGTTGGCTTCGCCGGTGACTCCAAATTCGACGCCGACGCCGAGGGTCAGAGAGGGGCCGACACTGAGGATTCCGGTGATCTCAAAGGCAGTGACCGACAAGGCGTCGTAAGTGTAGCTCCAGAGATCCGTGGAATAGGCGGCGGTCGCCTGCGCGGACACATTCAGCTCCGCGAAAAGGGCGAGATCCAGCTCCAGGTATAGGCTCGTCGCCGTCGAGTTGGTCACATCCAGCTCCACCCCGCCGCTCAGGTCCAGGGTTGTGCTCAGGCTGACATCCTGCACGTCGATGGCGAGATCTTTCGTATTGATCAGCTCGCCCGACCACTCATCCGAGAGGGCGATGGTCCAGTCGCGCTTGTGGGATGCCACCGCGCTGGCGTTGAAGACCACCGAGATCGACTGCGCCTGGTCCCGGAACGAGCTGCGGGTGGTGTGGGCCGTGATGGTGTTGTTGTTGTTGGCGCTGGCCACCGTGCTCGACTCGACCAGGTAGACCCCACGTTCGTTCTCCGCGTCGCAGTCGCCGAGGTGGTTGGTGAGCAGGATGAAGCTGGACGAGGGCCACGCGGAGACGCTGCGCTGGTAGTCGGTCGTGCTAGCAAAGACGACTTCCACTGATTCGGCCGAGCAGCTGACGCTGGAAACGGTGGTGATCTCCTCCAGGACCACCGTTGGGAGTCTCATTTGAGCATCCACCTTGGCAGCTGTCCCGGGCTGGCTCACGGCCTGGTAGTACAGCGTGATGTCTTTCTCGGGGGCAACGCTGGTCTGGCTCACATCTGCGGCCCGTTTGAAGGGAAGAAGACTTTCAGTTGACAGGGCACGAACTGCCATCAGACAGAGAATGGCGAACAGGGACCTCATGGCTGGGAAAGAGGAGACCATTGTGAGGGTTTGTAGTTAGAGCAGACGCTTGTAAGTGGGATGCCAGAAGAAAGCAATGAAACGAACAAAATGCGTCGTATAAATGTTTCTAAGCGCCAATATGATATCTAGTCGACCCCTCTTTCAGTGCATGGGTGGTGTTGATGGATTGTTTGCACGCCAAACTAATACTTCCTCCCTCCAATAGCCAAGTGAATCCCCATGCTTGTCCTTATATGGAGGGGGGCAGAGTCCATTTAACTAGACTACTAGGGACCTAACTACCTGGTAGATCCTTACAGGCTACCCAGTGGTAAGATAAACCGCCGAGCATGCCGGAGATACCATCGATTCGATTGGTGGCGAACATCACCGTTCCTCGGCAGGGTTAAATTAATTAATTAATTAATGATCCTGTGAATTCACGCACGTGCATCTGCTTCCGGTGAAGATTCGGTCCCAGATTTGGTCAGACTGTCATTGAACCACGACCTCCACCACGGCATAGAAGGGCAGTGCCAGCAAGGCCATCTCCCCTGCAATGCTGGACAGGTAGATGATGTTGCGTCTTCCGTGGGGGGTGGGGATGCCTGACCCAGCCCCGGCGATGAGAGCAGACCTGGCGAGGATGCCCTCATATAGCCTCTTCAGCTGGACCGTGATCGTACACCGAAAAGAAGTAATATGATGGCTAATTCAACTTGTTTCCCTCCACCACTTCATGGGTTGACTAGAGACCCATCACACCCAGTCACGTCGGGTCACACACATACCTCATGTTGGAACACACACTGCAGGCTACCCTAAGTAAGGTTCACATGGAAGCATATACAAGTACAGTCTGGACCTCCCGGTTGAGCTAGTACACGCATTAAATACACTGATAACACCGACCCATCATCAATCTCCACAATGGCACCCATCACAGCAATTGCTATCTAGCACAAAGCCAATCAATGGGTTGCCTAAGATTGACACGCACGTACACAGGATTCATAAGTCTTGACACCGTCGCTTGTACACTGTTTGTTGGCTGCCTCGCATTCGCTGGCCAGACCGCATTTCCCGGCCTCTCCGCTGCACTTCTCGCCATTCAAACAGAGATTGAAAAAGCATGGGGCCAGACATGCGCCGTACACGTTCAGGTATCGATCAAACTCCCCGCATCCGATGGCAGACTCGAATGGGGTCTCAGTAGGCGCTGGTGGAGGGGAATCTGCCGCAGGTGCAGACGTGGTGGCAGGGGTGGCCGGTGCCTGCGTCTGGGGTGCCTCGTCCCGGCAATCCTCCTCGCAGGATTGCCAGTTCTCCTGGTTTGCAGCAAGGCAGTCGTCGCGGGGCGCGGTCCCATTGAAGCATCGGTCCACGCCGCCCAGCGCCGTCTGCAGGCAGTTGTTGTTGCAGGTTTCGAGAGGCCCTTCGACCCGACGCGGGCATGCGGCATCGCAGCCCTTGAAGCAGCCCTTGATCTCCTTGTCGCATCCGAGGAAACACTGCTGCCAGAAAACTCCCGCATTCCTTCTGTTCCGCATCCTCGATGCAGTCTTCTGACAGTATTCAACGCATTCATCACTCTCATCAACACAACCCCTATAGCATCTCTGGGCGGAACATTGAGTATCCTGCGCCTCAACAACGGCCAGGACAAGAGCAAACATCACCATGAGAATTCGCGGGATGTCGACGTACATACTTGCGTTTGTCGAGTTGCTGGTCCGTTGGAGATGCTGCGTGCTTGAATTGGGTTTTCGCTAGTGTTTGTGATGGAGTTGATGAACTCGATGGTACTCTTTTGGTAGTTAGTTCTTTGTAGTGGTTTAATAGTAGTCTTGAAATGTTTGGCTGCTCGGGCAGAATGGTTCGGGGATGGCAGGGATGATTCAGAGTATCTAGACGATCTGCTGGTGTCTGAAATAAGAGGCATCGCAGGGTCTATATACCCTTGCAGTCACGGACCACGAGGCTCTAGGCAACTACCCATATCTGCTACGGCGGGGGGCTAGGCCGCCAGACAAAGACGACGAGATAGTCGTCGGGTCATGCCAAGGAAACAGCAGCATAGAGTTCCGAGGCAGTCACAAGCCTCTCGTTGTTCTTCTTGGAAAGCAGCAATCAGAAAGGCGTGCAGCTGTATTCAGACCCTTCTAGAACCGACTTCTGCAACCGAGATGTCAGCAGCTGGGGTCGCGGAAATGAGAGTGGCGCTCATGGGACGCATTCTGACACTCCGCAGAATACGATGCGCCAAGAGAGCCAAAATCTTGATAGGCACTGAACCAGAGGAGCCATCGATCGATCGCGATACAGTTGCGACTCGAACCGTGGTTACTGCACGGGTGGCTAAACCCAAACCCTGACTGGCGGAAAACACTATCTTAAACGAGGTTCAACCAAAGTTGTCATAGAAGACCTTTTGCAATCAACGCCAAGTCCTGTTCCAGGGAAACTAAAAGGCCTCTCGTGTTCGCGCTTGTTCCAGGAGTGTGGTGGTTGTATTTAGAATGGAAGGGGAACCCGTGATGCCCAGTCCGAGCGCCTAGGGCCATTGTTATTTGTCTTTTGATCAGTTCCTCATACTTTGGGAACTTCTGAACTTATCGCCCAGAATCTGGCGTGGGAGGAGCTGTACCTCGCCGTCGACGCCCTCGTGGTCGGTCGGGAGATGCGGCCTGGGGACATGGAGATTGTTGTTGTTGGAGGTGAACTCACTCACTTAGGGCTACACCCTCTCCATTTATCCTTCGATCAACCATCCCTCCCGACGGAATTAATAGAAGACCATTATATCTTGGTCAGATGATTCGAGAGTTAGCTCTGCACAGTACGGTATTTCCAAAATATATGTTCAACAAGTAGCGAACCGGGAGTGACTTGAGATATTCTCGCCGAGAAAACGTAGGGGGTGGGGTAGGGAGGTAGAGGGATACTCGGTTTCTAAGATGTATGCTCAATTATGTTAAGTTAGGAAAAGGCTAGGCCGCTAGAATCCAGGCGGACATAGTCATGTCTATGCAGATACAGACCAGGTGGATTCTAGTCGACCTAAGGGGGAAGGAGAAACTTTTAAAGCACATCCCCTACCCGGAATGCGTCCGGGCATAGGGAACCAACGGCCGGATCGACAGCATTTCGGTCTCGACATGCGCCGCCAGATGCCACTTGATGGCCTCCTCCGGGCCGTCGCCCGAGAACGGTTCCTTGCAGAGGGGACACTCGGCGAATTCCAGCCGAGCCGCCGGGACCTCGGTGAGTGCCTCGGGTGGCAGCTGATTCCAGCCATGGACCAACTGCGCATGCTTTTGGACTTTGTCGCCATCGTGTGGTCCGAAGCGAACGGTGCCCGGCTCACACCCCGGCGCGCTGCATTCCCAGTGCCCGTCGTGTCCCCGCATATGGTTGACCCAATCGTCCAGGCGGAAGAACGTGGCCTCCCCCCGACACTCCTTCGCCAGGCAGACATATGGGTGATAGTCGTAGAGCACGTGGTGCTGCCACATGGCTGGGGTCTGGTACACCGAGGCAGGCAGCACGTCACTACAGTAGGGGCACATGTGCTCTGTCGCATCGGCAGGGGGCTGTGGCGGGGGGGGCAAAAGAAGCTGCCGCTGCTGCTGCTGGGGCCCAAGAATGGCAGCATTCACCGTGTGAGACCCTAGCCGATTACCTTGCAAGCGCCAGCTAAGGAGGTTCCAGCAGGCGCTCATTCGGTGCGCGATCCGTTCGCAGAGCCCCAGATCGGCCCTGGGATACCTGGCCTGGAGTCCCCGCAGTGCGTCCGCACGGAATTGCTCGCCGCGCTCGTTGCGGCGTAGCCGCCAAAAGTCTTCCCAGATGCTGTCCCCACGCTGATCGGCCTTCCACTTCTGCACCATTCTTAATCTTACCTCCTCTGCGAGAATGTGGAGGCGAGAGCACACCGTCCCGCCGACTTTCTCGAGGCGCTCGATCCCGCAGAAGAGCAGGCTCAGATTGCGGATTACGCCCTCCGTCTCAAGTCGCACGCGCGCGTCACAGTTCATCTTGAGGGCTTGTAGACTTTGCTCTACGTAGATCAACTTCAGGCAGAGCGACAGTTGGGCTGCGGGGAAGATGCGTAGCGTACTGATCTCCGTGAAAGTGTAGCCGTCACCATCGCCAACGGCAGTGAGGCGCAGTCCCTCTAAGCGATCGGCGACATGCTCGCAGCCATAGAAGCGAACGAAATCCTCTGCGTCAGTGTCATCATCAAGGTAATTTGGCAGGTTGTTCAGAATCTCGGCCTCCAGCGCCGTGCACCGACGGGCCTGCTCGATCAGATCCACATTGTTAGGGTATCCCGCGTGCGGTAGGTTGCAAACCGCCAGCAGTTCCCTCTCTACTAAACTCATTTTCGAGGTGTGAAGGTTGATATATCCAAGCGGGCTTCGGGTCTGAAAATGGTGTCTCTTGAGAACTACTTCAGACTTTCTGGATGCTTGTTGATGGAGGAACATAAACAACAAGAGACATCGAGAAGCTTATATACCTGCCGCATCAGTCCGGGCTCGTCACCTGTGCTACCTGAAGCAACAGACAACCTCCACGATGCGATCTCCCGAGTGCCGGGATCCACCAGATTAGCTCATATGGCCCTTGTGAGCATCGTAGAGACCCATGGTGCCGTGAATCCTAGGACCAATCTTGGAGGACACACATACAATGAACAGGATGAGCTTTTCTGGCTCGATCTAGCATCATGCCGTGGGACAACACAAAATCAGAGAGTGGGCATACAATCCAACACAGGAGAACAAGAACACTAGGAGTATGGACAGAGACACGAAGACAAAGCAGATACAATTGAGCCATGACCTGTAAGGATCGTGAGAAAGAAATGAAGTGACACTGAGCAAAACTACCGAGAGATGGATAAAGCGGTAGAAGAGGCTGAAACAGAGAGAAGATGGTAAAGCCAGACAGACTGAGGAGGAAGAGGGTAGGGAGAAAACAGGAGGGGAAATCAGAGAAGAAGAGGGATGGATGTAGATGCGTCAACCCAGATCCTAAGATGTAGAATCCAAGCCCGGGATGCTTTCGCTACTGACCCTTGTTGAAGGCGACGTTGCGTCTTGTGGAGTTGTCAGTGTTCGTGTCTGTTTCTTTTCCCACACCTGCTCAATCCCCTTTACCTTTTCACTCAGGTCCATATTTAGCTCGTGGATGCGCATAAGTGCTTTGGAGATGCTATCCTGTCGAAAGAAGAACCATAGGCGACCAAAAAATGTTGACGAGAAGGGCATGACATTGTTGTTGGACTCCAGAGACTCCAGGTCTCTTTGCGCAGCAGTCCCACCATTCCGGGACTGTTGCCACCTCACCCCAAACTCAAGCTCTTCAGAGGCTAGGTTTGGATTAATCTTTAGTCTTGGAATAAGCTTTTTTTTGCCTGCACCTGGAATGCGATATGAGATTATAGACCTACAAGGTACTCCTCAGACAGCTGAAGCTGCTTGTTCCCGAAAATATAGCGGAAACTTTGGAGTAGATTCTGGAGGTGCAGAACTTTGACCTTGAGCGATTTTGACTCCTTGTTATCTGACCCAAGTGTGTCGTTCAGCTTCTTCAGCTTCTTCAAAGTCTGTTCGGCCAGACAGTCACGTCGCAGCGGGTGTAAATTTTCGCCGTGGAGCGCTTCCAGCGTGTTGATCGATTCGTGATACATGTAGATCTCATCAAGCGCGATCGTGCGCATAGTGCCAATCTGCGAATCGATATACGCTGGATTGATAATGCATGCGAAACCACGCGCGATGCCGGGCGGTAAACCTAGAGTGTTGATCAGAGCAAAAGAGGTAGTGGGGATCTGGAGATTCTGGACCCACTCTGCCATGCTGGGAGCGACCGCTTGGGAGATTGAAGAGTCTAAAGTGTAGAAGCAGGAGAAGAAAAGTAGACAGGTTGCTCAGGGTTAAAATGTGGAAGACTGAGTCAACCGGCCTTTTAAGCAGCCCCTAGTCGCAATGGCTGGTTACCCAAGGGCTTTGAATGAATGACGGTTAATTGAAAGCCATGGCGAATGTGCTGACATGGATGCGGCCTGTGAACGGGATGCTTCAGCAATGTTAGCAATCAGGAGGGTACTCCTATCCCTTTTTGCCAGGTCTGCACAGGTCTTTCACGAAGAGAAAGCACTGGCATTGAGATGTAGGTCGTTGCCATACCCTGGCCCGGCAAACCCAGTGTGCTCTATACGGGTTGCAGACATATGGTCACTGCCATTGTTCTCATTGAATGGACACTTGAAAGAGGTTGAGAAAGGGATTTGATGGCAAACGGGGCTTGCGTGAATGATAACAGGAACCTTCCACAGCGGCCAACAAAGACAAGTGTAACCCATTACAGTCAACATCTACAGCCCCGTCAGAGAAACGGGGGCCTTTTGACTGTGCAGTTCACTTCCTCCGCTCTAGACATCCACTCCTTTTTGGTCATTTGACGGAGTCTGCTTTGATGAACGATCATCCCCCTCTAGGCCGTATACCCTTGAAGTAACCCCTGTTCTATCAAGCCATCTGCTAGCATCTAGCTTTGTCTTCTCCTCATTCTACTTCTCCTTCGTGCCAGACCCGCCATAGAGCTGGGTCATGGTGATGAACTGCGCCACCAGTGCAGAGGCTGTGAACCGCCCCACCACGCCGAGCGCGTCCAAGGTGCCGATGAACTGCACGGAGGAGAGCACGATTGTTCCATACACCACATGCACCAACCCGCAGATGTTCGCCAACCCATTGTAAAACCCTTCGCCGGGGTCGACGATTTTATCATGATCAACCGTGGGAGTCCCTGCTGCCGTGTCCGAATGCTCCCTGGAAGGCGACCTGCCCAGGCAGTTCACCAGTACCGCGAGACAGGAGTTTGCCAGCGCCACGAGAGGTGGCAGAACCAGCATCACGAGAGATGGCACCGGCGCGAGGAGCACCCACGCCAACTCCAGAAGACCCACATTGCATTTCCAGCTGATGATCGTCTGGCTGCCGAGCCGGATGGCGTTCTCCAGCACGTTGGCCGCGGCCAGCGCCACCGCGAGATATTGCACCACACTCCGGTACACGTTGGGATTCCTGCCGGCAGTATACTGGCGCAGCCACGTGGTCTGTTGGTCGCCGGGATGGTCGGGCTTGACCCAGGGCCTTGCGAACGTCAGGGACGGGGCGGCCAGGATGCTCAGAAATCCTAGGATGGGCCGCTCGCGGAGCAGCTGCAGCCGCTCCTCGATCGTCGGCGCCACCGTGCCCAGAATCGACGGGGTGAGGCCCAGGAGCACCGTCGCCGAGGCCCAATCCCCTTTGTTCACCTCCCCGGCGCCTTCGAGCAGGCACTCGGCCATGTGCTTGCAGGTGTTGGGATCGGAGGTGTTATGGGCGGCGAGGGAGGCATTGTAGTATGCGTGGCAGTCGGGTCGCTCGGTGGTTAAGGTGGTTCGGTAGAAGGGGTAGAAGTTTTGGAACTGGGCTGCGCGGCTTGTATCGAATAGCAGGGCTGCACTGTAGATGAGGGCTAAAGATGGTGTCAATCAGTATCTCAACTGGTAAGATCCGTCTCATTAGATGTCGGAGGGAGGGGATATTCACCCAGAGTGAGTTTCATCGTGGTAGATCCTCGAAAAATGTGAAGACTTTTCAGATATGCCCAAGGACAGTGAGTGCATATATCAAGGGACCAGAAGAGAGACAGAGAAAGAACGGAGAGGTGGGAAACTAACTCCAAAAATAACTTATCGTATTGTTGGGGGGGGGGGGGGGGTTGACGCGGGGCTGAACAACGGCGGTAAGATCAGCACTCAGCACCTATCATCGGTTGTCAATCATCGCTCATTAATCCCCTTAGTGGAAAAGCAGATGCAGCTGACGGAAACTTAAGAGTGCATGCTAACCTTTTGAAGGCAACTGTATGGGTAATAGGAGGGGCTGGCGCGTATTTCCCGCACATGCTGTGAGTGTACGGTCAGTGCACACAGATCGGGTCGTCTTCTCAAGGCAGACTGCTCAAGGCAGACTTCCCAAGGCAGACTTCTTCTTGATATTTTGAGGTACTTCACAAGAGAGGTCTGCCTACTCAGCAATCATGCTGTGTTACTGAATTGACACTTCAAGCTCTCCTCTTCACTAGTCAAGTTGTTGATTCTCAGGTCGCAATGTACTGTACGGGAGATGGTACAGACTACTTACGCAGTACCCCCACCGAGGTGATGACACAAGCCCTCATCTGTGAATTACGGTGCTAGATACTCTTTCTTCATGCAACTGCTGGTGTAATGGCAGTAACGCCATGTGTCATCCATTCGAAGTCGACGGATGGACATGGGTACCTAGTCTGGTACCTAGGATGGTAAAGTGATCGCTGTACTGTAGCGGGCTTACCGCCGTGGCTAGACAAGGCTAACGCAGTGCAAGACAAATGGAGAGAAAGGTAAGCATGCAACGAATGACGAACTGGCTCGCAGAGAAGTTGGCTTCCCCCCATCACACAAACACACCAACAGAGCTGACGATGGTCCATCCATAGGAGAGACACGGAAATACCGAAAACACCCTGCCAACCCACCCGCAGACCAACAGCCCCTTCTTCACGTGGCTCCCCGCCCTCATCCGCCGGCTCCCCTTCCGCTGGGAGCTCTACAGCAATCGCTTCAATTGACCTCTGGGTGGGAGGCAAGGGAAAGTGGAAGAGGCCGGTTGGTGGCCAGATGACATTCCGTCCGGACCGGGAGCGAACCTACCATGCCCGAAAACTTGGTGGTTGGTGGTTGAATGCTCTGTCAAGTGGGCGAAAGGATCGGTTCATTAGTCCTTTGATTCTGCCTCGCAGTATAGAGCAAACCCGGCCATACCGCCCGGCAGAGCGTGCTCAGCTTAGGGCTTCTCCCGGATGCGCAGCGAAGCAGCATCACATGATGTGAGTAGCCCTGGGAGGGTGCTGATAATTGCGTCTTTCGGAGTTCCTTCGTGCGTGGGCATGTTGTGTGTACACTTGCGGAGCATCTAAAGACAAAGGTCGATATTCAAGTCTATTCTCGAGGAAAGTGAAAGGTGATATTACGGACATGGTGGCCGAGTCTCGATCACGGTCCATATGAACCTCAGCTAAACGCTCCATTGTGTACATGAAACATGGTTGATGCATCATCATTCGTATGATTGTCATTTTTCAATTATTCTTTTTCTCTTTCTATAATCTCTTCCACGGCTGAGTATAAGAAAGTAGGTACGGATAGCTAGCCACAATGCAGCCAGGGCTACTGTAACCCGTCCCCCAGCGTGCTTCCCCTCTCATGATGAAATAGGGGTGGGATCTTTGTCCACCATGATATCCAGGGGAGCCGCATCAATCCCGTTTGGGCGTCCTTCTCGCCGAAAAAGTACTGGCGGGTCCTGAGAGTCTGGCGACGCTTCGTTGAAGTACCGCGCCTCTTGCAGCGGGTTGGATTTCGCCGCGCCCGCGAAGATCACGTCCGGCGGGTACGTGTGGTTCTGCCGCTGGGTGCGCCACTCGTGCTGGAGCAAGCGCGCCACGAAGCCCCATGTATCGTCGTCGGCCACATCGGCGGGAACGATGAAGCTGAAGATCGGGGGCATCTTGTCCTGGCTGGTCTGGAGGCTTCGGGCGGCCGCTAGAAGATCCTTGTCCGAGAAGATGCTGATTGTGTGGCCTTCGAATTCCGTCTGCCACGTCTCGAGACCTAGGGCGGCGGCGGAAGATGCTAGATCCATTTTGTGTGTGTGGGTGGGTGTGTCAATATGTCAGTTGGAGCTTTTGACTTGTGTTTGCCTTGTAGGGGATGGATGCTTGGGGTTGCAGTGTGAAGGATGATCACACAAAGCAGTTGGTGCAGAAGGGGAGGAGAACGAGGTATTTATAAGCTACCAGAGTTCTCGCAAAACCCAATCCCTTTGCAAGCTTGGGGGGGGTAGATCTTCGATTGCGTAAATAAGATAAAGACCCGACTGCATTGAGAGCATACAGACAAGAAATGATAGCGGGAATATTTCCTGATAAGAGGTGGTAGAAACAAAGTCTCGCAGAAATCTAAGGATATTAATATATCGGACAACAAAATGCTTCACCTTCGTGCTAGTGTCCAGTGTTTGGATCTGAGTCCTGTCAATCGATGATATCCGCTTAATGTACAGTGAGGAGCTAACAACAAAATCTACGCCTCTATCTGTTGCCAAGTAAGGGACCCCAGTCCAGCGGTCCTAGCTTTGGTAATCCCTCTGTGGGCATTGAGCTTTGTTCAGTTCTGTATGTCCGATTATTCGTTGTGCTTTCCTCTTGATAGGAAGGAGATTCTGGAGCGTCCATTTTTTCCTTCAGCGACAGCAATTTGATAGAGTGTATCTCGGACTAGCTGAATGAAGTAGTGTCGATGCAGAGTGTGGATATTAGCCTTCATCAGGACCAAAAACAAGTCCAGTATCATCGGCAGGGTGATTGAAAGCGAGGACCGTGGGGCCTTGGACCACGTTCCCGTTCACGCTCATGTTCAGGTCTGCGGTCACAGTCGTGGTCCTGGTCCAGGTGACGGGATCCGTCGGGCCGCTTCCACAGCTGTCCATGTAGACCGCGTTCGTGTGGACTGTGATCGTGTGGCCCTCAAACTCGGTCTGCCAGGTCTCCATTGGGGCTGGGGCTGCGCCTGTGACAAGTGCTTGTGCATCCATTGTGTGATAGTCTACAGGTGTGTGGTCTGTATGTCTTGCGAGAGTGAGGTGGTTTGGGTCTCTCGTATGAGAGATGATCAGTGAAACTCATGGTAGTGGTGAGGAAGTAGCACAGGGGCTTATAAGCGATCAGCGCTTGGGGTCGAAGCTATCGGTTTGCAGGTTTTGACGGAGTTAACCTTTAGGTGTTTTTTTGAGGGGGTTTATTGATTTCATTGAACGACTGCAGGTCCTTAAGGAATAATACCTGGAAAGTCCCATCAACCAACAAAACGCTTGACCTCTCTGCTAGTATCAAGTGTTGCATCAAGGGAGTGTGAAATGGTCATCCCCGCTCCACGTCTTGTTTTATAGAGAGACTATGACAATCCATCCATCCATCCATTCATGCACCTGTCACCTGGGAACCAGGCCCAGTCCGACGGATCAGGCTCTGTAAAGCCAAGTCTCAGTTATTATCGCAACTGCCCCACTTCATCGCCTGCGGAGTCGTCAAAGTCTCCTCATCCTCGGCAAAGATAACCACATCCTCGCCCTCCACCCCTACAAAGGTGCAGAAGCCGCCGCCCGGGGAGGAGATGCTGTACACGATCATCGGGTTGTCTGCACGTGTCGAGTTGTATCAGTGATCCTGTTTTTAAAACCAAAAAGAGGAGCGAACGGCAACAGGTACGTGAAAGACGTCTGCAAATGGAAACGTCTGAAACGGAGAGAGGAAGCACGTACCAATCTGGACAGCTGTGGTGTCGGTGGGGAAGAGGAGGGAGTAAGACTCGTCCTCGGTTGCGCCGTGGAAGGTGACGGAGACATTGAAGGCTGCGGCGCTGAAGGTGAGGAGGGAAAGGGCGGAGAGCAAAGCGGTTCTCATTTTGGTGGTTGGGGATGGACTCTGTAAGAAAGGCTTTCGACGATGCGTGCAGAGTGATATGTTTTATGGCTTCTGGTGCGGGTATACTGAGCTGTTGGGTCTGAAGAAGGGTTATGATCCGAGCAGGACCATGTTTATATATCATCTTCTCGACCATCACCGAAGTTCCTCCACCATAAATAGGGAAAAGGTCTCAAACGTAGACCCTATATTTAGGCCTCAGCTGTGAGCTCAGAAACCTGACGTTGTACAATAGCAAGCAATCTCGCACCGAACGGTGACAGACTTGGGGTTGGTTGAGTTTAAGACCTGCATGGCATAGTCCCAAAAATAGCACGGATGGTATGCCGATGCAGCCGACCTGACCAGCTGGTTGGATCAACCCTAGAGGTTCGGGCATTTAGGCGGGCTAAGGCGCCCAGCGGGCACGCGGATAATCCGACTCGATCTGCAGGTGTGGCTTAGGCCTTGGAACTGAGGATGGGTGGAGTTCCAAAGCTTATTCGTCACGAGATGGTCATGTCCAGAGGTATTCGATCTCGACATTTATAATTATTTCAAGCAACTATAGGACGTGCTCCCTAAGAGGTTTTCGGAGTTGTGACTAGCAGGTTAATCCCTTCCTTCAGTACTGAACTTGCAGAAACTTCGCCATGTCAGTAGTCCTGGAGTTCTCTTTCATGTTCTCACGTCCACTCCTCAATCAACACGCTAAGAACCATGTCTGTAGGCTGTATTGACGGGACTTGGTGGATTCTTCACTGGCACAACTATAGGGCCGGGCCACCTGAGTCTTCTGCCCAGAGATATCACTCACCATGCTTACGCCTAGGTTTGCGCCATGCATACTTGGACGCCAGTTGAACTGCTTCCCGGCCTTGAGGGGGTCTGTCCTTCTTTCCTCATGTTGTCTCCCCTGTTTTTGTTTGATCCAATAATTGACATTAACATACTATCTGGATCCATCCAAGTCCATCCGGCCTCGAAGTCAGATCAATCCAGGCTTAAACTCTCATCCCCATTGGGACTAATTCTAAGACTTTTTTTTTCTAGCAACCGTGCTGAACGATTATAGCCACCATCGGACTTTCTGTGATTGTTGGACGGGCCTTACATCCCATGCACGTGAGTGATGTTTCCCAGTAGTATAGAATAGCCCGCAACAGTTTTCAAGATGGCATGTAGCGACATAGGGTTGTCATCCCGCCGCCTTCCTCGCTTGGTATTTATAACTCTCTTCTTTACTTGCGTTAGTTTCTTTGACCCGTGTAATCGTACATTTTGAATGCAAATACTTTACTTCAATAGATAGCCCGATTTCTACATAGTAGTTGCAGAAGGAGTCGAGATTGATTCAAGCACGGCTCTGTCAAGAGCTCCCAATCCGGCAGAATCTACAACAGTAAACCAAGCGATCACGTCGGCGGTAACAATGTACAATGACTGCCACGGGGTCGGCAGTTTAGGACTTTCGCCATTTTTCACTACCGCTGTGTACAAGTGCAAGACCTCCGCTTAAGCTCGTGAAAGCTTCAGCGGCAGGAGGACCAAGAGGGCGGCGATACGAGGGTGGCAAATCATGAGGTAAGCACCGAGCCTTTTCTTCGATAAGACAAAAAGAAAAAAAAAAGGAAAAAAAAAGAAAAAAAAAACAATCTGCTAAGAAATTCAAGAGTATCAATTAGGCTAGACATATAACGCAGCAGGCCAAACACCAATCATCCAAGCACGACCAAGAGCTTAGTTCTCAAACTCCAGGCCGCCCTCCTGTCTGACGGCACCATAGATGCCGGCCAGATCGCCCTTCTCCCCCTGCTTCTCCTGCACCTTCTCCATGTACCTGTCCGCCAACTCGACCCCCCGCATCGTGGCGCCTGCATTGCGGGCCATATCCAAGGCATGTCTGGCGTCCTTGCGGACGAGGTCAATGCCGAACAGCGGCTCCTCGCGCTTGTAGTAGTCGCCCGTGCGCATGCGGTTGGCGTACGCGACGTAGGGGCCGGGGAACACGTTCTCGAAGAACTGCATGAGCGCGTCGGTGCCCAGGCCGGTCTTCTCGGCCACCACCAAGCCCTCGGCGATTGACTCGACCATGCCGATGACGAAGGTGTTGCCCAGCACCTTCAGCTGCGAGGCCTTGGCGGGCGCGCTGCCCGAGAAGTCCAGGAACGACTTGGCGATCACCCCCGTCGTGTAGGGCTTGACGACCGCCACGTCCGCAGCCTCACCGGCCAGCACGCAGATGACCTGGCCCGCAGCCGCCATGGCGGGCGCGCCGAAGACGGGGCTCGCGACGAAGCGCGCACCCGCGGCGGTGAGTTGCTGGTGCACGGTGGTGGTGGTGTCCGGGTGGATGGTGGAGCAGTCGACGAAGAGCTTGTTCTTGACGTCGGTGGTCAGGGCAGAGGTGATCAGGGAGGTGATGGCGGCGTCGTCGCTGACACAGGTGAAGATGATGTCCGCCTTGGTGACGGTGTCGGCGAGGGAGGCGGAGACGGTGGTGTTGGGGGTGGCCTTGACGAAGGCTTCAGCCCGCGCGGCGGTACGGTTGTAGATGATCAGGGGGGTGGTTTGAGGGCCCTTAGCGGCGAGGTTGGCGGCCATTCCCTGGGTTGTGTTAGTTTGAGGTTACATGGCGTGTTTGAGGATGGAGGTGAAGGGACGTACTCGACCCATGTTGCCGAGGCCAATCCATGCTAGACGGGGAGACATTGTGAAGGTTGTCTGTGAAGATTGGTTGTGAAGGAGGTTGATGCTGTTGACGATGATGGGGATCTGCTTGGATCTTTCAGGTCTTCTTATAGTCTGCGAGGGCAATCGAGGCGCCAGCAAGATTAAAAATCAGGCCACGCTTACCAAGATGGCCGAGATATGCCGCAAAGTATTTCTATGCGTGGAGTATACGGATAAGGTACTTGCCCTGCACTGAAGACTGGGCGGACCCTGCCAAGCAACAACAAAGTGCGGGAACCTAACCGCTTTGGGACTAGATTCCGCTGCAGAGTCTGTGGCACGGTGGAAACTAATCCCTTTTAGGAAGATCCGATTTCGAGCCCTGGCAATGCGGCAGTCTTCACAGCTTACTAGGTACCTCAAACTCTCCTGTCGATCACGCTAGAATCTTCCACACTCGCTGGGTCCGATGGGTCTGTGAGTTGGATCATGATGTAGGTTGCGGAGCGGATTGCGAGCGGATTGCGAGCAGATTTCTAAGCAGCACTGTCAAGGATGCCGTATAAGACACAAATCTGTCTCTCCCAGTCGCTTGTTGAGTAAAGTATTCTTTGCAAAGCGATATCAGCCAACATGCAGATCTCTCACATTGTCTTGCTTCAATTCAATCCGGATGTCGCTTCTGACGTCAAAGAGAATGTGCGTTGTCGAAGCTAGCTGCAAAATGTGAATGCCGGCTGACAATCCCCCTTAGGTCGCTAGTCGGATCAAGGGTCTGAAAGACTCCTGCATGCATCCCGAGACCGGCAAGCCGTATATGGTCAGCATGAAGGGCGGGGTGGATGCCTCCATCGAAGGGCTGCAGGTAAGTCGGGGTCTTCGATGCGGTGGCTGATAGCAAGTTGACCTTGTGCTGCAGAATGGCATCAGCCACGCGTTCGTCTCCGTGTTTGAGAACGCCAGCGATCGCGATTATTTCGCCAAGACGGACCCTGTGCACATTGCCCTGGTCAAGGACGTTTTACAGTATCTGGAGAGAGTGCAGGTGGTGGACTTTGTTGACGGACAGTTGATCTAATGCTATGAGCATATCATGGTTCATACGGCTTTGATAGGTAATGCGCTGGCTGCGTTAACATCATCTCAACTCTCGGTACTCAAAACACGAGCTAGTACGGTCTGAAATGAACAATTTTATAGAGCGGTGTCATTTTTTCCCAACTACTCTAGATTACCTCTGCTTCTCAGAATGAAACTTGTGACTGGGGTCTGACCCGGTAAATCCGAAGTTCTTTGTTCCTGCTTGGAATCTCGAAAAACCGTACTAGGATCTGAAACCTTGTATGTCCCGTGGGCCACGTGGAAGCTCCAAATTGCTTATATTCAATTGGTTTCGCGCGGGTGGGTTCCATGTACGACGGGCGCTCCTCGACTCCTTGACATGCATATACTATGTACTATATGGAAACTTAGTGCCGATATTATACAGTACCTAAGGATGCGGTCTAGGAAAAGCCCTTGAGATAATGGATCCAGACTTCAGATCACTTGTAGCTGTCTGGGGACACTTGTCAGCCCTATGACCTAGCCTTACATACAAGCTTGTGGTCATGTGATGAGATCCGGTAGTCAGCGTGCTTGATCACTTTGATAGAAAGCACATACACAAAGAATTCCTCTACTCTGATCATACTTCCCAGAACCAATACGGTCATACCAGTTGGTGGTGACATGTCTTGCCCTAACATGTGAAAGGCCTCTGATTCAGCCAACTCGCAGTACCTATCCTTATTCCTCAATGTCGAGACCATCTGTGTGATTGACTTATCGGTCAGTCCCTGCCAGTGACTCACCCCATTCACCGCTAAAACTGTGCCTCTGGTGTAAAGAAGACTACATGCCCCGCAGCATCCTGCAGTGAAGGCGTGATTGATCCTGTGAAAACTACAGGGATGCTGCACTTCTCCCACCAGCCTCGCTAATACCATGCAGCCGCAATACAGGTCACTTAAGCTGGATGGATCATAATATTCCATGAATCAGAGACAGCAAAATAAATGAATTTCGGTGAGAGACTACACCGATGAACTATTATCTGAGCTTGTATGGTGGTGTCTGGCTGATGTTCTTCGAATGGCAGTAGAAGGCGATAACACAATCCGGCAGCAAATGGTGCAAGCCAACCCTGACATGGCAACATCCCGCACTCCTCTTTTTCCTGCTACTCCCCCTTGCCATTCTCTGGCTTACTTTTACAGTGATCACTTTGACCATCTAGCCTGTCGCCTGAGCGGCTTCTGATCTCTTGTTAGCGAGTGGGCGTTGTCTTCTTCGTCTTAGCATTCTGGGCAAGTCATGGCGTGGCCCAAGCACATTTCCGAGGCGAACAGCCTTGAGCTTGATCTCCGAATATTAATCGAGTCGCGGTTAATTACAACACGAGATGATTGGCTTCTTAGATTGCTATCATATCACAGAGATTAGACGGTCGTCCAATTCGCCATCCATTTCAGGGCCACTAGTGTGTACTTGCACCATCGCTTCCTTGAAGCACGCATGCATCCGCTCGTTTGCACCT